GATGACGACCCACTTATCTACATGCAAAACAATAGAACGTGGAACTTATTTAACCAATCATAATTCTCATTCATCAAGAAATAACAAGTGTAATATCCACTAAAGCAAAGCTTAAGTATATAACACCAACAATAGAGTCATCCTAAACATGGAATTTAGCAAAATAAGGCTTTTCCCATGTATGACGACTTAGTCATTATTTCTGGAAAAGATCGTGCTACTGGAGAAAATGCCGAAGGTCCTAATGATATGATGGAAGAGATACAAAGGGAAGATGTCAATCCTAATGCTGATAATGACGTCGAAGCAACAACCAAAATTGGTCTTGACAATTTAGATACTTCATTTTCTCCATTACAGTCCCCAAGATCTGCAACAGTTGACAAGAGGAAGAAAAGAAAAAGAAGTATTGATAACTTGATGCCTATGACAGACATAAGGGAAGCTGCTTCGATTATTGGAAGTGGAATTGCTAAAGCTAGTGAATTTTTTGGTAAAGCAATTGGAGTTGATGCTGAAATTTTAGAAAAGGCACAAAGGATTGATTCAAAGCTAAGAAAAGTTCCCAATCTAGCTCTACTAGATGTTACTAAATTGGTGTGTCGTATCACTCAATCGCCCGAGTTAACCAACATGTTTTTTGGCATGACTGAAGAATGAAGAGAGCAATTGGTTAGGGCAATCATAAGTGACCAAGTTAATATCATCTTTTTATTTTTTTCTTATTTTTAGACATATAATATCTTCTTTTTTTTTCGGAACGATAGAGGATTCTATTAATGAAAACAAACAATGTCCAAATACATCAACCCAAAGAAAGACAACATGAGAGACACATCTATAAGATGGTCTAAAACTTCAACCAAACAACAGAAAACAAAAGCTAAAAAGGAACAGTTGTCGAACCACTGCCTCAAAGCCTAGCCAACTCTTGCCCTAAGAAACAACAACTACAGAACTAAACCACAAAAAGAAACAAAAATCAAGGAAAATTACTAGCAGCTGTAGCAAAGCTCAACCAGTCTGACATGGCTGCTTTGATGACAATGTGAGGTGGGGGAGTGGAGTGCTGAAATATCCACTCGTTCCTCGTCTTCCAGAGCCACCAAAGAAGGTAGGTGGAAAGCTGAATTCTATCCTCAGCTATCTCGGAAAGACCTATGCTGCAGACTTCATGCCATCAAATTCTGATAGAATTTCTGAAATGGGCTAAGTTTGGCCAAGAAACTGGAGCAATGTCCCATATTGTGCAGGCTCTATGTTGATATGGTTTTCGGTAAACCAAGTTATTATCACTCATCGGTTTTCAGTACACGGTTATTAGAAGATTATGCTCTTTTAAAGGAGTGACATGCTCGTGAATTTTAAAGTAATCACGTATCGGGCGAAGACAGATTAAGGACCGACATCCTCAACTAACCGACGTCTCATATCGGTTATGCCATATCGGTTATGACATATCGGTTATGACTTAGCAAACCGATATCTATGAATTGTTAAACCGACATCGTAAGGCGGCACCAACTCAGCACAAATCATCATTACACCTCGCCAAGTGGCTTGCTACAAAAATGACTGGCGATCTGCCGCCATTGACTTTTCTAATGTAATGATAGCAATTCTGATAAATGTTGTAAGTACATATAAAAAGAAAGGAGAAGCTCCCTGGATGGAGGAGACGGATAATATACAAACAACTACATTCAAAACGCTTAGTTTTCAGCATTTATTTTATACGTCAATTCTTCTTGAATACTTAGCGCAACTTTCATTATATTATCATTGTTAATTCCCACATAACAACAGTTTGGCGCTAGAAGGAGGGACTCATAAGTTTTTGAGGTTAACTTTCGCTGCTGTAGCCATTATTCGCTCGAATCTCCCATGTCGCAATCTGGTCGAGAATATACCTCCCACGCAGGCTAAAGCCATGCCACGAATCGTTCCCCAGGGCGTTCGACGCAACCACCTCCGGTTACTAATATTACAAACTTTCTTCAAAACCCGGAGTTTATCCAAGGCTTAACCTCTCTTATAGCTCGAGCTATGCACAGAAACTCGAGCACAGTACCGTTATCTACACCGTTCCTTACAAATCCAACGGAACATCCAAATCCCGTCCCTCATAATCCAGAAACACATATGGCGGTGTCACATGCTACTTCACAACCACGCCACACTTCTCAGCATCGAGATGAAATGACTCGCTTAACTGTTAACCCAGTATTGAATAACCAGGTCGCGGGTGAGCCTCCTGAACAAGAAATGACTGCTGAAAGCCATTCTGCTCACCATCATAGAATTCCTTCCCGTCCAAGACCTCCCTCACCGGTGTCCCGTGGTCGTAAAGACTTACGCCATCAAATTGAGTGGAATCGCGTGTCAAGACATAGTGCAGAAGATATAGAGGTTCTCCGTAAAAGATTGGCTGAAATCGAAACTCGACAGAAGTCACAAGAAGACTCTCCCCGACATGTCTCGACATCGGGAAATGTCATCATTGAAGCTGATTCACCCCTGGCTCCTGAACTTACCGCGGAGGCACTTCCTGCCAAGATAAAGATCCCGCAAATTGGCATGTATGATGGAACTTCGGATCCTGACGCACACTTGGGTCATTATACGTCTTGGATGGATTTGCATGGCGCCTCGGATGCTTTAATATGTCGAATGTTTTCCCTCACACTGGGACCACAAGTGCAGAAATGGTATTACACTCTTCCACCCCATTCAATCTGGAAGTGGCAACAATTACGTGCAGCTTTCCGATCACACTTCATTGGAGCCCAAGTCTGTCTTATCCCGAAGGAATCAATCACTAATATCATGCAAAAGGATGACGAAACCGTTAAGGACTATATATCTCGGTTCAATGACCGAATTCAGAATATGGAACCTTGTCACCATGAAACCTTGTTAGTAACCGCAATTGCTGGATTGAGGCCCAATTCGATGTTTCGTTGGACTTTATGTCAGAACAAGCCGGCTACTTTTCAAGAATTTCTTGTACGAGCTCAACAATTCATTATCGCCGAAGAGTCGATGTTGGTTCCCAGTTTCGACTTCTCGGTAAAGAAAAACAAAACTGAGCCAGACGCAAAGAAAAAGAATAAAAAGAATTTTGGAAAGCCGCAATATCAGAATTATTCGAAAGGCTATGAAGATACTCCGGAATCCAAAGCCGCCCGAGACCAATATGCTGACAATGTGAGGACGGGCTATCAAACTGTTTACTTAGCCGGGGCAGCTACAATTTTTGAAGAGCTGAAAGGAAAGGGAACTATTCCTGATCCGAAACCTGTGAGAACCCCTGAAAACAAGCTTGATAAAACTCGATATTGTGCGTACCATAAGTCCCCGGGCCATAATACCGCCGAATGTCTCGGTCTCTTGTCGGCCCTCTTACGTCTAATTGGATAGCCACAACTTCAAAAGTTCAGAAATTTTGACAATCGCCGTAAAGGCAGGCTCGCAGATGTCTCGGATGAAGAAGATGACGATGAACGAGGAGCCAATCCAAAAAGAATCCGTGCGAACGACAAGGAAGTTTTTAAATTTTCTACTTTTGTCGGTACGTCGGCCGACAACAACAAGAAACCCAGAACGCATGATGCATCAAACTCTTCTCATTACATACCTCGAATAAATTCTAACACAAAACAGTTGGACACATCCCGGCGAAAAGCTAAAGCCTACGCTAGAGAAGCACATAATGCCGGAAAGCAAGTTATGAACGTTGATCTTCGAGATACTATTAATAAGCGAAATTGTCCCATCACATTCAACATCGAAGATGCCAATCTGTTTGCTCACCCTTACTCCGATGCTCTCGTTATCACCGCTCCAATTGGAGGAATTCCTGTTCACCGAATCATGGTTGATACTGGAGCTTATTCAAGTATCTTGATGTTTCGCACTTTCAAAAAATTAGGTTATGATCCTGCCGATATCAGGCCTTGCAACAACCAGATTCAAGGCTTCAATGGAAGCATTTCTTGCCCTCTTGGTGAAATTTTACTCCCCATCCGATTTGGTGGCTTCAGACCAAAATCCAAGATCATTATGGAAACTTTCAAAGTCTTGGATATTCAAAATGAATACAATGCCGTTGTAGGACGTACCGCTCTTTACAAACTCCGTGCTGCTGTGTCAATTTTTCATTATGCCTTAAAATTTCCTACTCTTGAAGGAGAAGGCACTCATTATGGAGATCAACAGGAGGCACGAAATCTGACATTGGCTCCGACTTCGCACAATATTCATGCATATGAAGCATAGGAAATTGGTGATTCTGTTAGTTTGGGAGATCCAATTCCCTCTGATACCATGATAACTGATCAATTCACTTCAGTTACCGACACTCTGTCTGCACCTGCTACCGACGTCTCTAGAATGTCGGAGTTCCCTGAAACCTTGAATGAAATCCTTCACCAAAGACAATAGCTTCACGAGGAGGACATGAAGGCACCCGAAGATATAGATCCAAGGATGCAATTCAAAGATAAGAGTCATCACATTCGAGCAGAACCCGTTGATGATGTCGAGGTTATTCACGTGGATGAACTAACTCAAGACAAACCATTGTGTATTGGAGCTAATCTCCAAGAACCAATACGCTCTCATCTAATTCAATTCCTTCGATCAAATTCCGACGTATTTGCCTGGAAGCATGAAGACATGAAGGGAATAGACCCACAAAAAGCATGTCATCGGCTGAATTTGGATAAGACTGTCAAGCCCGTCATTCAGAAGCGCCAAAAATTCGGACCAGATCGTCATAAAGCATTGGAAGAGGAAGTGAATAAACTTATAGACAATAAGTTCGTCAAAGAAGCCAAATATCCGACGTGGATTTCAAATCTTGTTTTGGTCTAGAAAAGTAGTGGCCTTTGGCGCCTATGCATTGACTTCTACGATCTGAACCAAGCATGTCCGAAAGATAGTTATCCGATTCCACACATTGATTACATGGTAGACTCCACATCGGGACATCAGCTCATGAGTTTTTTGGACGCTTATTCCGGCTATAATCAAATTCCCATGCACCCCGATGATGCTGAACACACTTCGTTTTATTCGGCCCGAGGTCTTCACTGCTACGTCATGATGACTTTTGGATTGAAGAATGCTGGGGCCACATATCAGAGGCTGGTCAACAAAATGTTCGCTCATCTGATCGGTCGTACGATGGAGGCTTACGTAGACGACATGCTGGTGAAATCAGAACAAGCCCCTGATCATATCGCTCATCTTTCTGAAGTCTTTGACATCCTCCGAGAATACTCAATGGTACTTAACCCTAAAAAGTTCACCTTTGGAGTTGGATCAGGAAAATTTCTAGGATACATGGTGAGCCAAAGGGGGATCGAAGCTAATCCCGTCAAGATTCAGGCCATACTTGATTTGACTCCCCCGATGTCCATCAAAGGTACTCAAGCTTTAACTAGCCGACTAGCAGCTCTGAATCGATTCATTTCAAAGTCGACAGATCATTGCAAGACTTTCTTTGATGCTATTAGGAAGAAGAAGCCATTTGAATGGACTACTGAATGTCAAAGTGCTTTTGACAACATTAAAGAAGTCCTTTCACAACTTCCGACGTTGCAGAAACCTCTTCCCGATGAACCTTTGTATTTATATTTGGGAGTAAGTGAAGCTGC